ATCAAAGCAGGACCACAGACTCCCACTGGTCATGCTACACCTACACCTTCATCTGTCATTAAAGCGCACACCCCATCAGGCACACCTTGTGGAACTCCTGTCCCTGGCAGTGGGGGCTTCTCCCCTTCCCCTTTCCACGCAATTTCCCGACCAGGCACCCCTGCTACTTCACGCAGTGCCCCAGAGTCCCTGTCTCAGACGAACTCCAGTCAGCAGAAGGTTTATTCTCAGTCCACAGAACACCAGTCAGGATCACCCTTCCCTGGCATACACCCACAAGCAGGTAGCTCTTCTGGGTCAGTGATCCGAAGTTACACCCCATCTGGACCGCAGTCTCTTCCCCCTGGACGCTCCACGCCAGTGATTCCGAGCTGTTCCACCCCAGGTCCCAGTCCTAAACCTTCCCCTGCTCATTCTGCACAGGCTCAGGCAGTTGTGGCTGGAGCCCTGAACAGACACAGTGCGGGTAGTAGCAGTGGCAGTAATAGCCCTGTACCCTCTGCTTTCAAGGGTACCTCTCGCTCTGGCACACCAAGCTCTGCACAGGCTGCTCTAGCACGTCCCTACGGCCTCTCACACCCTTCAGGTTCTCCTCAAGTCTCTCTCCCTAGTCCTGTTGGTCTCACTGGCTTACAAGCGCTGTCTTCCAGCAATGCACCCTCTCATTACCCGGGCCTGTCACCTTTTCCCTCCCTTTCTTCATCTCTGCCTCCTTCATCTGTCCCCTCATCCATGCCAACAATGTCCCCAACTACCAAGATTTCTAACCACCCACCAACAACCATCTACTCTGGCTTGGCTCCAAATGCTCCTCCGAGTGCAGCCTCTCCTTTTGGTCTAGGCCTCACCTCTGCTCCCTCTATATTCCCAGGCCTTCCACCTGGGGCTAGCCCAACTGCCTTCCCTGGACTTGGTGTGGCAGGGGGGCATGGTGCTGGGAGCCCTGTTTTAACTTCATTTATTGGACTACCAGGGGCCACTCCATCTACAGTGGCATCAGTGGCACCACTGCAGGCGGCGGCAGCAGCAGCAGCAGCAGTCGGCGTTCCATCATCTTCACCAGTTTTACCAGGCTTTGCATCTGCCTTCAGCTCCAATTTCCAGCCTGGGTATGTGTCCTCTTTACTAGCCAGTATACAGAAACTGGGCTGTGTGTGCCATAATCTGCTCTATGTGTGACAATACAGCATTGACTTCCTGATATTAAACTGAGTTTGAACGCCAAACTCTTACCTTTTATAGTATTCATGTATTGTAGTAATGAAAGGGAAAAGTAGACTGCATTAAGAATTTGGACACGATGACACCATGTGACACAGATTTCCAGTAGCTTATAAAATAGCTGGAAAAAAGGGCATCGTAAATCATAACTACTTTCCACTTTGTTATTGTCTGATAACCGAACAGTTCATTTAGATAGTGCAAGGAGCACATGGAGTGCAAGCATTAGACTTTTTTTTGTGTCGTCTCAAATAGTCCTTCAGCAGCATTGCTCAGCTGTTTACTCCGTCATATGTAGTGTGATATGTTTTCCTTGAACAAGTAATGCAAGCAGAAGGTTTCCTTTTGTTGAACTCGAAGGGGACAAACTGTCTTGTAGGAGGAATTAAATGAGCCACCACATTATTTAGTAACAACAAGTATAATAATATGCACATACATGACAAGTGTCATATCTTAAGCTGCCTTTATGTTGCTAGTATAATTCTTACATTCTTATGAAAAATAGTCTTAGAATTGGCTGGATACTAACACCATGCACACAGACTTAAAGGAGAGTCTTCGCTGGTTGCATGGCAACGGCTCAGCTGTACAGCAGTACATGGACTTTTTGTCAGCTGTTTTTAAATGTCAGCTCGTGTACACATTAAAAAAGGACAGATAACATGCAGGTGGTGTTATTGTTTATTATGTGCCATTTTTAAGACCATGCATGCGCATATTCCAGGTTGAGCGGTGGACTCCAGCCTCCAGGCAGTAGCGGGTTTCCTGGCTTACTGTCGTTCCAAGTGCCAGGCTTCTCTCCCTCTGCCTCCCCCGCTGCACTCAGTGGCCTCCACAACCCAGCTGTGCAGTCTGCCCTGCTGCAGGTAAATGCGCACAAAACCACACACACACAAATGTTCTGACCAAGTTTTAAAAAACAAAAAGAACCGAATATTATGTTGTTGTAAACACTGATTTTCTTATCTTGTTCCAGCCTCATCCCCCTTCTGCTTTGGAGAATTTCACTACTCAACCTAACAGCTTCACCAACTACCCTGCAGGCCCAGGACACACGTTCCCTATCCAATCGGGGCTGCACCAACCGTTGGGCTGGCCGTGAAACCTACAATAGTTGTGAAACATTGAGTAAAAAAGTAACATTGACTCCTGCCACACCTCTTAGCAGGTGATACAATTTCTATTTGTCCTTGAACCCCAGACGAGCACATGACAGTTAATCACTGTGTATGTTGGAACAGGAGTGAAATGGGTCAAATAGTCTGTGGGGGAAAAGGCATAATTGTAATATCATTCATAGTGAAGCGTTGTAAATATTAATTGTGAAAGTTGTTAGTTTGACAGGTAGACTGTGAGTGATTTCATTATTAGCCTGGCTTGCCTGTTTTTAATCAAACTTAGAACATTTATAAATGAATAATGAATTATAGAGTATTAGAAAAGTCCACATAACATTATGTAATAAATTGACCTCAGTCCTGAGCCACAGTAGTATCTCATTTCCAATTACAGAGCAAATGAAATGCTAATGAAATAGATTGACAGGCATAAGATATAGTATTGTAACATGATTTTTTTTTTGATGATGTCCCCGTTATGCTAATTTCTAATCTAAAAATTTACAGCACAGTGGTCTTCTTTAACATGTGAAAATGTTAAGTTTGTCTCAGTTTTTTTTTTCTTCTAAAAACTTCAGGTTTTTAGCAGTACACTTTGGGCTGTTTTAAATTGGTAACGAGGGGGTGCTTCACCAATTCTTGTTTGTTCAGTTATGTAACACAAAAATAGGTAAATGAGAACAGTTTTATTTACAGTTAAGCTGCATTAAATTAAAGTTACTGTGAGCACAGCGTGTAGAAAAGGGGCAGACAGATCCGATTCTGTAATTTTAGCGATGGAAACAACTTCTTTTTTTTCTGCTGATGCTGGGACATTGCCACCACCTCAGTTGCTGGGAGTGCACGGAGATTCTTGATGCTTTTGTAGCTGAAGTGCAGATCATTGTAAGGACTCTGTCTACATCTCAGTTTCAAATTGGGTGTTTCCAGCACTTCTAAACTTCATTTGGAGAAGGCTTTCGTAAAGAATAAATAGGAAAAACCTCACAAAGCATAGCAGGGGCACATACTAAAGTATGCAAACTACAAATGAATGTGCTGTGTCAGGGGTTAGTTTGTAGTACATACAAAAACTTGCATTTGGCAGCTCTACACAAGTGTGTTTTTTGTTTGGGTTTTTTTTTCCTTCTTTTCTTTTCAGTGAACATTTTTGTGACTGCAATTTTCTGTGATTCTCATGTTTACAAAGTTTATTTCTCATATGTGACACTGCTGTGACTGCTACTACAACATTTATCCAGAATAAGGGTATGCAGGCATTTTTTTTTTGACATTGTCACTTTTTTTTTATTATATTCTGTAGTTTAACAGATTGAAAGCTGTACTTTTGCCCCTCTTTGCTCCTTAGTAGTTTTCTATTCTACTGGGATTATCTCAATGACAATGACCTTTGTCTTGAGTAATAGATGTTTTGTATGCTACACAGTTTTTATTTTATTTTTTGCCCTTTTTAAAAAAATGTTTCCAGTGAACTGCTGGTTACTGTATCTGTAGTCTATGTGATGCCATTACTGTCGACATCTCTTGAATAAAAATACTGGAGCTGGACAAAATAATGGAAACAAAGTTTATTTTAACCATAAAGCTACACGTATATGTCAACTCAATTTTGAAGATTCACTTAACTACAAATCCTAAATGACTGCATCTATTTAATATCCACTTTGGTTCCTAACCTTGATTTGAATGGTTTTACAACCTGCGTACGTTCCACTTACCCCACCATATAAGCTTATCACAAGCGTCGCTATTGCTCAACACACAAAGTCATGTGTCCATTAGTCATGGAAAAAATTTTTCCATTTGAGTTCTTTGATCAGAATATGTTTGCTAATTATATATAAAAAAAACTTTTTGTGATTTTTGTTTTGTACAGTTTAGCTTTTTTGTAAAACTATTAAACACTTTTTCAGTCAGTGCAATTAGGATTATTCATCTAAACCTGTATACATGTATTTAATTTTCTAGGGAATTACAGTAATAAAAAGGGTTATTGCTCCAATGGATCCTCAGCAGTAAAGCTGGCTGGCTGATTTTCTCCTACATAGTAAAAGTACAGCATAAGTAAATTGAATTACATTTTACATCGTACATACACTGTACTGTTCAGGTCGTGGGCAATGTTATGGAGTGACATTTTTGTGTGTAACGTGAAGTGTACTTTACAACATTTCACAAAATCTGTTTTCAACATCAGGCTTTAACTGGTTCCTCATTCTAGTAGTAAGGGAAACAAAGGAATGCATTTCTATTTGACAGAAGCATGGTGGAGAAATTATTAAAATGTAATTATAGCTTAATTATATTATTTCCAGCTTACATCTTACTATAAATTACATTTTAATCGTGAACACAAATTGTATCTTATTTGATTTAAATGATTTGTTTCTTTGCTATCTATCCGTCTATCTGATCTTTAGTGTTAAACTTAAAGCATTAAGAAATAAAAAAATAATGAAAATACAAAATTATAATACGGTTTTTTTATGTAAACATCACAGCAGAAATAAAAGTTTATAGTAATAAATATATCGATATACTGTACTGTTTCCCATGTGGTTCATACATGTCACGTGGTTTTTGATTTTCTTCTTCTTTTCTTTTTTTGCAAGTGCTATCTAGAATTTTACAGCCTCTAAGATTATCCATTTGCCTGGAAGAATCATGACGATAGTACTCTGTTACTGTGGCGATGATTGACCCTGAATCAGAGCCACGCCTACACCTTGAGCCACATTGCATTGCAGCAGGGCTTCTTTAAAAGGCGCACTTGCTCCAGTTCAGGCACACTTCAACAAACTCTCTCTAAACGCACTTCCTACTAACCACTCTCAGTTTTACCAGCATATGGAAATGGAAGACCAGATGGAAAGCCAGAAGAGGAGAGGAATGAGCAAAGAGGACTTGATATGTAAGCTGACTTTCAATATCATTATTATTATTACTTTGTTTTTTAGGGTTCGATATCCTGTTACTGGCTGTGCTAAGTAAGCTATTATTACTACTACTACTTCATTCGAGAACAGAGTTATATCCTTCTCCAACAAGGCACAGTGTTATTGTTGGCCAACAATTACATGTAAAATATCATCCTTGTTCTGTGAGTCATTTTAGTATCAGTTTTATATCTGTATAGTCGGTGTGGAGATGGAAAGCAGCTAAACAGACTAGGGTTATAGTTTGACTCTATCGTCATAGTGACAGAAATCACATGCCACCAAGACAAACAGTCCCAAAGCATGTGACTTTTTTTATGTGTGTGTGCACTGGTGAAAAGGAAGCGCTGTCATGTTCGCATGTATGGAAATGTCCTTTATGTGGGCGTTGATAAGGGGTTGTTTCCATATCACTTTTTACCCCATTGTTTTTATTATCACCAGCCTGTCGGACAAGATAATGCCAAACGGATAGCTGTGCGGGCAGCATTTCTGTTTTTGACGTAGGTAAAATATTACCTGGGTGCAGAGATCGGTTAGTGTACTGAGACAGCTAAGATTTCCTTAAATGTCTTAGCTAAGTTTCTACAACTCAACTAAAAGTATGCAAGTATGCTTATTATTTTTTCTCTAAAATGAAATATACAGATATTAAAAACAGGCACAATGAAAGCTGTGATTGAAATAACATGATCATCTTGTATTATTTTTAAAATATATAACTTCTAAATAATAGCCATAGAACATATGAAACATCTGAGGTGGGTTTGCAAGGTGGATTGAAACTCCTGCAGACTTCAGTACAGTGGTCTCAGTCTCACAGCAACACATTCAAACCACAGGAAGCTGTTTCCTGTTGCTGATCGATGTCCTCTTGTTTGAAGGCATAAACAACACCTTTCTTTCTTCTTCTTCTTTTTTTTTTTTTTACCACAGAAAAGATACCACAGAGCATAATAGCAAAATAAAGGTCATCTCTCAACTTTATATTAAAGTATACTTAAGATCATCCTATAGTAGCCCTGTTTAGTGATTCACATTGGAGTCATTTTGTAATGCCTTTATTGTAAACCATATTTTATTAGAGGTGAAACCTATTACACATAGCACCTCTCCCAAATTAATTTTTTTTAAAGGAGATGATATTGCATGACTAAACATTTGTGTAAACTGTGGGATGGAAAACTGAGTGTGAGTGTAATTGTCTGAAGGAAAATATGAATTACAACTGTGTAAACAGGCCTTCTTATTTACCCGTGCCTGCGCTCTGGTTTCCACCCACGCACTTTTGCATTGTGTGGCGGCCTACTTGGCAGATGAGGGTTAAAAGCCATCCCTCAGGTGTCCTGTGTAGTAGATACAGAAAGCCAAAAGATCTCACCTCCAGTTCCAAAGGGATCCACAATAAATTTAAGCAGGTTAGTCATCTGGGACATTCTGTACTTATATGTCTCAGATAAGTTTTTTTTTTGCCTTGTTACAATTCCAGGCGCTCATTTTATTTTTATTATTCCCAATGAAAACCAGCTCACGTATAAAATAAGCTGATAAATTAGCCGTAAAGCTGAGACTTACGCTTCAACATTACAACATTTCCCTAATGCTGCTTAATAATTCAACATAAAGTTAAACATCATTGTTTAATGGCCACGTCACAAAACTGCAGAGAAAGACTGTACACCATGAGTCTGGAATACACTGACCCTTCTCTGTTTTTAATGGCTTCTTTTCACAAACAAAGCAGAAATCCCAAGATTGTATTGCGTGAGTAAATATTTCAGTGTGTGCACAGAGCATGGGAGAGTGTTTTCATGTGTACGCTAACAGTTTAGCTCTCTGTGTATCTGTGTTTGCTCTAGGATGGAAATCTGAGGAAATATACACAGATAGGTATCACAATAACAAAGAAAATATTTATTTTAATGGTTGACACGGACCTTTTGTTTATACCCAACATTTAAGATAAGCTGGAAATGTGAGGAGCAGTCCAACAATAAGACCATTATGAACTGTGGGAAAATATTAATTACAATTGTCGGCACGTAATCCACTTTTGAATAGTTTGTTGATCTTTTAGCAGCTGAAGCTTGAGAGCTTGAAGAAGATCTTTGTGTACCTCACCGAATCAGAACCAATTTTCTATGTAAGCGTGATTAAAGCTAATACTTATAACAAGGTAACTTTCCTCTCCATCCACGTATGGGTGTCAAAGTGTGCCAAACACATTTAAACACACGCCGTCTCTGTTTTTCTCTCTCTTTAGCCGAACGCACAGTATCTTTGGGAGCGTGCGGCTGGATCATAGTTATACTCGCTGGCCTATTCACAGTTCTGCTCTTCCCCATAACGATCTGGTTTTGTCTGAAGGTGAGCGAGATAACTAAATAAGCACAGTGGGCTGAGGAGCTGAAACCACAGTTTCCTTTGCTGCTGTGACCATGAACTCAGCTTGTGTTTTTGGTCTTGCAGATCGTTCAGGAGTATGAGCGAGCTGTCATCTTCCGACTGGGCCGCATCACAGACAGGAAGCCTAAAGGACCAGGTAGAAACGCTCAGGGTTTGCACATTTGTTGGGTTCTTAGACAAAAGAATTTGTATTTACTTTATTTATTTTGTCCACAGGAATTTTCTTTGTTTTGCCATGCACTGACTCCTTTGTGAAAGTGGATCTGCGAACCATTTCATTTGACATCCCACCACAAGAGGTAGACGAACAACAAAATGATGTAAAATTGCCCCCTTGCAGCATTATAAAATGACTCATCATGCTGGTATATGTATTTCTTTTATAGATCCTGACCAAAGATTCAGTTACAGTTAGCGTAGATGGCGTGGTCTACTTCCGCGTCAGTGACCCCATCGCATCTGTGGCCAATGTTAGCCATGCTGACTTTTCCACCCGTCTGCTGGCACAAACCACCCTTAGAAATGTCCTGGGAACCAAGAACCTGGCTGAAGTCTTGTCTGACCGCGAGGGCATCGCTCACAGCATGCAGGTATAAAACGTGTGTGATGTGGTTTTTAGAGGTTTTTCAGAAGCCAGAAAATCCCCTTTAGATGAATCTGAATATGAAAACCCCAGTTCCATTTTTATTTTTGGCATCATATTTCTAATACCTAAAAAAAGACTCGGATGTGCGTAGTATCTGCTCTGTTTCCCAAACATACTGTGTATTTACACTGTAAGCTGTAGCTGTGATCATCTCCTCTTCTTGACTTTTCCAGTCTAACTTGGATGAAGCCACAGACAACTGGGGGATCAAGGTGGAGCGTGTGGAGATAAAAGACGTGAAGCTGCCGGTTCAGCTGCAGAGGGCCATGGCCGCTGAGGCCGAGGCTGCGCGAGAGGCCAGGGCTAAGGTCTGGAAATGTCGCACATGAAATACTTCCTAGAAGTGCATTATTCATTTCACGCTTTTGACTTTTAAATGACTTATTTTGCATTTCCTGATCACTCACTCTGTTTTGATCCACGCACAGGTGATCGCAGCAGAGGGTGAGATGAATGCATCCCGGGCCCTGAAAGAGGCTTCCCTTGTGATTGCCGAGTCTCCCTCAGCCCTTCAGCTTCGCTACCTCCAGACTCTCAGCACCATCGCAGCAGAGAAGAACTCCACCATTATCTTCCCCCTGCCCATGGATGTCATTTCCCACTTCATGAGGAAGTGAGGTCGCCGGCTTGATGACGCCTCAGCTTGTTGCTCATCGTGAAGCTTGAATCAAACGACTGATTTGCATATATGTGCATAAAAAAACAAAAAGCTGTTGCGAATGCCAAAGAGTAATCACAGAAAATCTTCATGTTTACTTCAAGGTGTGACTTGACTAAACCTTGTTGTTATTTGTCTAGAACAATATTCTGATAAACTTTTCCAGTAAGTTGTCTGCAATTCATTATACAGTGCATGAATGACTGAATGTTTTGTTATATTTCCGTAAATGAACAAAGCTTTTGCTGCTTTGTAATTATTGTGTTTGTAACATTCTTTATAGTTTATATTCTCATCGCTTAACAGATGATGTTATTTCTCTTTTGAATTTATTTGTTAACTACCAAAAGATTCTTTCATTTCCAAAAATAAAAGTAATATAAAAAGAAGTAACATCTTGTGTAGAGAATTATTTTGTGGCGTCTTAAAAGATGAGAAGATTGTTGTTTGAAGAAAAGACAAGTGATGACAAAAAGTAAGTCAGGGCTTTGAACTAATAAACTAGCTCTGAATATACAGCAGCTAAACACACGTTAGTACTACTAAAATGAACACAAGGATTTCCCTCACTTTTCTTAAACATTTTAATACTCTGCTCTCCCCCAAAAAGAACAAATCAAAGGCATCAACATACTGTGCATCACATTACATTGATGAACTATTTCATTCTTCATTTTCTAGGTCTCCTACGCTACAGTTACATTTTTGACAATCACAAATGCTGAGAGGTTAAATAAGAGAAAGGGAGAGCGATAAAACAGCAAAGACAGAAAAGAAAAACAAAACAAAAAACATGCTTCTATTACTCTGTTGGTGCACTAAGACACAGCTCATGTTGTAAATGTATTTACATTCAAACGTACAATCAGTGCCAGAACAAACAATATTCTGTAAACCTTGTTCCTCTACCAGTTCCAAAATGAGTCTTTGTATAGTTTACACACACAAATTCAAATTTAAGAGCTGAAAGTCGACAAACATTTGCTACGACAGCATTTAAATATTAAAATGGGCATTTTGCCCCCTAATAAATGGAATAAATTACTCGTGTATTACGGGGAGGCTCAGCCAAGTGCTACATGTTAAATGGCTGCTACATAGTCGTCAGACAAAAGGTCCTTGTATATTAAACAAAATCACATGAACAAATTGTAAAAAAGGAAAAAAAAAAACCCTAAAACGCAGTGGTTAGGTTTTTGACATTCAGCACATAGTAAGATGTCCACAGGACACATTGCAGGGTCACTACAATACCAGTTTATTGTTTAGAAATCAAAGTCCATTCAGTGGTGAAATATTCATTAAATACGACACTGGTAACTTTGCGCTGTCACTTGTAAACAGTAGTTTTGTTGCATCCATGTTAACTGTAGTTTTTTGCAGCTTAAATAACTTTTTAGGAGAAACCTAAAGAATCTTTCAGTGTCGGTGAATTGTGGTCCTACAAAAACTGAAAACACAGTGACTTTCTGACTGGCATGTTCTTTTTGACATTCTCAAAAACTGTTAGTATAGGTACAAAATCAGTCACAATTGAGATACTTTTTTTTTTCCCTTTTTCAACGCCAACATTTGCTCGTTTAAGAACAGTTAACCCTGTGTACGTCTCATACAAAAAAAAGATCCATGAAAAGAATCCCGCTTTTATTTCTTTCTTTCTTTTCAGGACTGTCAAAAGTGCTGGTATAGCAAATACAACTTTAGTTAAAGGTAATGAAAAACTGGTAACTCAGAAACACCATATATTTTACATGCTGGTAACATTTTCATCTGTAAGTGAACAGAAGATGTAACCAGGGGCGGTTTTAGAAATGTTAAGAATTGGTGCCCCCCGACGCAGCCCTATTCCCCCCTTTCATGCATCTATTAAACTATTAACAATATTTGATCAGCTTCTAAATCTAACTCATGCTCCCATTAGCGCTGCCAACTTCATCTTTTCTCCTGGGCCTGATGTATTTACAGTGACCCCTTTTTAACATATCTGGACTTTTTTAGCTTTGTTGTTGTTGTTGTTGTTGTTTATTTGTGAGTAAATCTGAGATTATACTGTACACAAATTTGATCTTGGCTTGTTCGAAGCTGGATGAGAGATTAAAACCCTGAGGGGAAGTTAATCTGAAGAGTACAGTACAGGAGGCAGGTATAACATACTGTGTGCTATAAAATATTTCTCATTTGTATATATCAGTTGTTGGTTTCTCTGTTGTATTTGATATAAATTAAAAATTATCTTGGGGAATATCTTGGAAATGTATAATGCTGTGTTGAGAAGCTCTCTCTATATTTATATAAAAAAGAAAGGATTTCTAATCTAATTTTAGAAAACAACTCCCTGAACAATATATTCTCGCACACCGGAAATCCAGCGTAGCTCGCAACAACATGATAATCAAAGAATAAAAAGTGTTGTTCAGATAAACAAACCAGAAGAATATCTGAAGAAGTTAACAGACCGAGTAAGGACTACGTTACTGTACTACACCACGAAGAGGTAAACGGAGGGTTCGTTTTTGAAAATTTACATAGCTTATAGATACTATATTTTACCACACGACACCATCAATGTACAGTTTTCTGCAGAAGTTTGTGCATCAGTGGGCAAATTACATTCTTTACAGCATGTTGTCTTACAAAAATCTTTAAGGTCTGTTAAGTTAACAAAGCTTCGATGCTTTAAAAGTTAGCTAGCTATTAAATAGTAAGATAGATTTTGTGCATGCTGCAAAGTTTTAAAATTCATGAAACAAGAATCTGGGCATTAGGGTCTGAACAAAAGGGTTTCACTTCAAAAACTTTGCAGTCTCCTCAGAGGTGCAAAACTTTTGCAAAAAACTGCATGTGTGAAGACAACCAGTCACATAATATGCAGTATATCCGCTTTCTCCTCAGGTACATCACGTTCGACTTGTGACCTGTAGGTGATATTTTATAAGTAACTAACGCCATTTATCTTCTTCACACCTCGAGCTTAATAAATAGACAAATCACAGCAATAATAAGTTCCATGTTAAAACTGGAAGACTTTCACAGTACATGCTTGCTAAGTAGCAAAACACATGTAATAAATTAGATAGAAACGTTTCTTTATAAAGAAATCCACAACATTTAAAACAGTGATTCCTGTGCTAGGTTTTCCCCCCTTAGCTTTGAGCTCCGCGGTAGCTGTGTGATTTTTGTTGACGTTGCCGTTGAGCTAGAGACACAACAGACGGCACATTCCCACTGAGGTAAATCCAAAATGGCAGACATAGTTTTTGCAAGTTGACCTGAGGGATCCCAGAAGTGAAGAGTAGCTCATGTGTAGGAAGACCTGGCAAGGTTTTAAAAGACATAAGTTCTTTGTGTTTTGCTGATAAAAATGGCTGGGGTTCCAAGTAAATCTGTCAGCTAAAATTAAGTAATTACAAAATTTTAAATACAGTTTGAGGAAGGTAAGAAACATGACTTTTAGGTGTTTTTTTTTAATATACAAACCAATTCTTTATCCAAAGTCCTTTATAAATAAAACATTGGTCGTTCTCTGCTGGTGAGGTTGCAGGACCCAGTTTAAGGCGCTTTGTTAGGGATTTTTTTAGAGATACAATCCAGAAAAGGAGAAACATTAATTCATGATTTCATGAAAGCATGGGAAACTAATCCCAATTAGAAATTATAGCTTATTTTACATAGTTGATATATTTGTGTTCGTACCACCCCAGAGTATGTGCTGTGGTGCCAGCAGTGTGCTACTTTCCATCTGTAAATGTGCACTGTTGTACTATGTACTGTGCAGGACTCACAACTACCCATGCAGGGGAAGTTTACAGCACCGTTTGTGCCGCTATCATACATTATCTACAACCTACAAGTCAAGACTATTTCAGTAAAAGTGTGGGCTGGGAAAAAGGAGCTTGCTGTCATTATCACAGTATGTATCCACATTGTGTTTCTGTGTATGATGATACTTTCATATGATGGACACCAACAGCTGTAGAGCCTGATAAAAGTACAGGACTGTGTAACCTCATTGCTTTAGCACTGAGTGTACAGTCTGTCCAGTTTATGCTGTGATGACTGGAAACCACAGGCTTGCAATAAAAAACAAACTGAAGGTTGGGAAAGAGAAAATAAAATAAAGGTCAAATGAGTCAGAAGAGAAAATTGAGAAGGGAAAGAACTTATCTCTGCAAAGAGCTGAGAGAAGTATTTGAATTACAGCGACTGCGTGATGCCCTGTGCGTGGGTGTGACATGGGTGGGTGAGTAATTCTGATTAGTTACTGCCCTGTGTGTGGGTGTGGCTGGTCCCGGTGAGAGATTCTGATTGGTAGCAGCAGCTCTGTGGGAGGGAGAGGAGTACTGGGCCTGCTGAGGACAGCCATGGCAGTGAGTGGGGGAGTCACACCCTGCTACAGGTGAAGAGGAAAATAATGGGGATGAGGGAAGTGGTGAGGTAGAGAAGGAGCGGTGGAGTGGGGAGGACGCTGGAGACACGAGAGGGCTGGTCTGGAGACGCCACAGCAACTCCTCGTTGTTCCGACTCAGGCGCTTCTTCTCAGTGCTCTCCTTCTCGACGGACTCGTGGAGGTTTGCGTTCTCCTCAGACAGTTGTCTGCAGGGAAAAAGACAAAAAGGGAGGTAAAGTTAACTTTCACCTCAAAGGTTGACTCTGGATGTACCTACAGGAGAGGTAGGTATGAAGTAGTGAATGCTGAGCATTAATGTTAATGATGATGCCTCTTACCTGGACAGGGCTAGGTTCTTATCAATGCGAGCTTTAAGATCTTCATTCTGCTGTTGCAGAACCTGCACTTTTTCCTCGAGGAACACGTTCTTTTGGGCCTGCTCAAAAGCAGAAAACAACCATACCGCAATCTATCATTATACAGACCACACTGACCTTTCTGTCTATTCAAAATAGTGCGAATTTGTGGAAAAGGCAGTGTAGAAGATGCTGGTTAAGGTGGCTTATTTGAGCCTACCACTTTCTCCAGGTCAGAGATCTTCTTCTCCTGCTGGTGTATCTGCTGGTTCTTCATTTCCACGACCTCCTTCAAACTCTTGAGGTCTTGCTCGATGTGTTGATATGGCGCTAAAGCATCCTGCCAAAAAATAAGCGCATTTAAAAATAAATGAATGAAAGGGAGTGTTTGAATAAAAGGCACCCAGCGTCTCAGAAGTATGCCAAGTTTCTGTTTGCGCTCTTTGTATATATATGCAGGGTATTTACTCACCACTATCTGTTCATCTGTGCTCCTCCTCAAAGCCTCCTCAAAGCGTTTGGCCTTGTCCCTCAGACTCTGGTTTTGAAAGGTGAGCGTATCCACTTGATCCTGAGAAAATGCACACACAAAAATACAAGATTACACACTGTACCAGTACAGGCGTCTATGTTTAAACCTAAAAAAAGATCTTCTTTTCAGTATCATACCTGTAGAGAAAGTCTAAGCTTCTCAAAGTCCTCCTCTAGAAGGATCTTCTGTTGCTCGTGAGCTTTCCTTAAGTCTATGTGCAGATTTAGAAGGATGATAAAAGAAGAGAGCTGGTGTGACTCCCTGCAGTGCTTGCATCATATTGTATTTTTTTTTTTATTAAACAAACCCCACATTCATACCTCTCATAGTACGGGCGTGCTCTTCATGGAGTGTTGCCATGGTGATGTTGTGCATGTCTCTGAGTTCCTGAATGGCTGCCTGATGGCTGCCTGTCATCTCTTCGATCTAACGCACAGCCACACACGTGTACACGTGCACGTTAAAGCCAGCTAATAACAGAAACAAACCAGTCACCTCCCACCGATGCCTTTCTCCTACCTGCTCCTGCTGTTGAGTCCTACACTCCTCCATCTCTGACCGATGCTCCGCCTTCAGGTGCTCCGCCTCTGCTGAGTGACACTTCCTGAGTCCTTCCTCCACAGCAGCCAGCTCTGCCTCCTGTTGCAGCTGCAGCTCCTGCAGCTCTCGCTCAAACGCCACCTCCAGCGCTGCCTTCTCTCTCTGGAGTCTCTCCCAGCGCACTGAGTTTGAGGCTGTGCATGAAGGACATCTAGTCATCTAGTTACGCGATGAGGACACTAGCAGCTATAGAAAGCTTAAAACCAACATTTCTATTTGGAAATCATTAATGCAAGTCGTTTTATGTTGAAATATAAAATGTAAAAATAAAAATATCTGCCTTTTACACTGATTACACCTTTACAATTCACTGTATGAACAGCCCAGGTGTGAATAATA